TCCCTCTCTCTCACCCCTTCTCTCCCTCCCTTATCTCTCTCCCCCTTCTCCCTCTCTCTCACCCCTTCTCTCTCCCCTCCCCTTCTCTCTCTCCCCTCTTCTCCCTCTCTCTCCCCCCTTCTCACTCTCTCTTCCCCTTCTCCCTCAAGTAGAATTAGTGTTCACTAATAATTGTCTATTAATAAATATTCCTGTGTAGCACGTCAGTTTTATCTTTCCGCACTACGTTGTGTACAGTCCTATAAATAGGCAACGAATGTAACAACTTTCGTCAGCTGCTCTCCGGCAGGTAATGATGAGATGAATTGACACTCTACAAATGAGTGACAGACGCCCATTACGGAAAATATTAGCTAAAAGCTCTTCAGTGATTTAATCAATGTTAATGAAGTCCTCCCATAGTAATTAATTCACTTGGTGCACAAAGCTTTATTACACCGCGTCTATCTATCTCACTCCATCAAACGGATTGTCCGATCCATATGTAATTACAGAATCACAACTTACATGTACAGCGGAGGGATTCGGAGTGCCTGGCTCTGAATAATGATGGTCCTGGGTGTGTGTTGTGGAGAGAATCCATTTCTGGCCACTGATACAGGTCATGGGGCAAAGCCGGACATAGATATTAGATGATTGCCAGACATTCATACTCCGACTTCTTTTTAACCTGCAGTGCAATCCTACCAGCCGGCATCTTTACTTGCATCATAGACAACCTCGGCGTCTCTTAACATATCCATACACATTGCAATCATATTGTACAAGCACTTCCAAATTTCTATCTATCTATCTGTCTAGAGATCGATAGATAATAGGTAGATAGATAGATAGATAGATAGATAGATAGATAGATAGATAATAGAGAGATATATAGAGAGAGCTATAGATAGATAGATCGATAGATAGATAGATGATAGAGAGATATATAGATATATAGAAAGATCGATAGATAGATAGATGGATAGATAGATAGATAATAGAGAGATAGATAGATAGATAGATCTCTTTCCATAATTCTTTCTTTCTTTCTCTTTCTTTCTTATTTTATCTATCTACCGTCCTTTATTATGTCATCTCACTTTCTCTTTGTCAATCTATTCTTGGGTATATGTGTCTATCTTTTATTCTATGTATCTATCTATCTATCTATCTATCTATCTATCTATCTATCTATCTATCTATCTATCTATCTATCTATCATCTATTTGTCTGTCTGTCTGTCTATCTTTCACCCCTCTCCCCCAGGTATCTTCAGTCCAGTGATGCCACAGATCCTCTTTACCCTCTTCCTTCACTGGTGGTGGATGGATCCTCAATGCTGCACAGAGCATGATTTCACTCTCTGCAGCACTCACCACAAAAAATTAGGTTGAAAAAAATAGATAGAAAAAAATGAAATAATGATTTATTACAGAGAAAGGACAGAGTATGTTTACTATAACCACAATTATGAATGGACAGGAGGGGATGTAGATCACTTCCCATTCATTCATCACTCAATTATCTACAAACACTCAACGATCACTGATCGAGTGTTTGTACCGCTCTCCTCTCTGACACGCTGTCACAGGAAGCTGAGTAGCGGTGCAGGGAGGAGAGCTCAGCCTCCTGTGACAGCGCGGGCTGTCTCCGCCCACACAACGCTCTTCCAGTGCTCTATCACAGATTGTGACTGCGTTGGAATGTGTGACTGGTCACACATTCTAACGTAGTCGCACCCATTTTTTTCCGGGGTAAAAATGTGTGACCAGCAAAATGTGTAGAATTCAAAGCTTTCTCCGCTGTTCCTGGGCTGATCAGCATTGCAGATGGTATGTTTAGTAGAACCGATCTGCCCAGGAACAACTGATCGGTCCTGAAATCTCACTTCTATCTGACTTTGCAAGTGCAATACAAAGTCGGATAGAAGTGAGATTTCAGGACCGATCAGCTGTTCCGGGGCAGATCGGTTCTCCTGCACATACCATCTGTGATGCCGATCTGCCCAGGAACAGAGAAAGCTTTGAATTCTACACGTTTTGCCGGTCAGACATTGTTACCCAGGAAAAAAATGGGTGTGGCTACTTTAGAATGTGTGACCAAGAGAAGTGTCACTGTGCAGAGTCCATGCATGCAGAATAATAACTGAAACTGAGAATCATGCGGGGTAATGGGCTACATGCCCTGGATTTTAGGGCAATTTGTGTCCCCTAGCATACACACAAATCTGAGCACACACTAGACTTTGGCAATAAGCATTCGTTGCTCAGCTTCCTGCTCACATGGCTGTAGAGGAATGTGTAGGCGGGACAATAGGGATTACTCTGCAATTCCTCATTCATGTCATTTCAGTTCAGCTTCCGGCAACTTCACAACTTTCCAGTTCGGTGAGTAGAGTTCTGCTTTCTTCTGAACATTCTGTATGACATATACAGGTGAAACTCGAATAATTAGAATATCGTACAAAAGTAATTGCAGTAAGTGCTGCAAAAGGGGCCCAAACCAAGTACTGAGTACATATGCATGCTTGTACTTTTCAGAGGTCCGATATTGTTCTATGTACAATCCTTGTTTTATTGATTGCATGTAATAATCTACTTTTTTGAGGTTGTGGATTTGGGGTTCTTGGGGTTTTCATGAGCTGTAAGCCATAATCATCACAATTATGACAAATCACGGCTTGAATTATCTTGCTTTGCATGTAATGAGTCTATCTCATATATTAGTTTCACCTTTTAAGTTGCATTAGTGAAATTATTGAGTTTCACCTGTATGTTTGGTGGGATAGCAGCACACACGACAAAGAGCTGTCAGCACTGTACATGCAATGTCCTGTACCTGGGCATCAGGGGCTGACTGGCAACTTTTAGCCCAGGGGGCAAGTACAACCTAGAGGCCCATGGTGCAGCAACTTGGCCTCCCTCCCGCTCTGCCTTATCCCCCCGCCTTCTCCTTGCCCGCCTGCCACTTTTGCCATCCATGTATGCATGAACAGTGTCATTGCTTAGCTGCTTAATACATTGCTCTTCTTGGCTCAGTCATATCACTTTCTACATGAAGGGTCTACAGAAGTGAACAAGATACAGAAGAGTAAAAATGTAATTGTTTACATGGTACGCAACGCCAGCGGGAGAATGTTGGGATAGGAACCAACTGTACACACCAACGGTATCAAGGAGTTCTTGGAATTCTACATATTTAGTTTCAAGGGGCATAAATATAAATTATGGGGCCCCATGATAGAAATTTGAAGGGCAAGGGTCCCTGGCTAATTCTGTAGCAGCTTGCTGTGTCAACTGACAATACCTCTCATTCATCCTAACATAATGTATGCCTAAGGCTAGGTTCACACTTGCACTACACCGCACGACACCCGGTCCCGGGTGTCGTGCGGTCTTGCACCAGGCAGGCAGCGATTGCCGCGCGGCCCCATTGATTTCAATGGGGTGACATCCGCTCGGCAATCGCAGAAAAAAGGTACAATTACCTTCTTTTTACGATACACGACGCACAGCTGTTTAAGCCGCGATCAGATTCGGACGCACGGGCGGAATCACGGCGGGAAACCGCTCTACCTGCCAGGCGCGACTGGGGTGCCATTCGAAAACAATGTCCCCTGCAAGTATTACTGAACTGCAGCAGAGAAAAATCAAGTCAGGTCTTTGGAATCATGAGTCCTTTCCATCCAGAGTTAACTTTTCACCAAGAAAACTTTTCCAGCCTGTGTAAGGCTGGGTTCACACCTAGGCCTACTATAGGCGCGTTTTTTGGCGTGTTTTTTAGCACGTTTTTTCGTTCAGTGAAACGCGCGTTCGACGCTCGTTTTTATACCTCCCTGGCGGTATGATTTATTAATTTTTTTTACTTTATTTTCTCTATCTTTTTTTCGTTTTTTTTTTTACTTCCAAACTTCTCGCCGGTTCCGCCCCCCTGCGACGCGGACGCTCCCAAGGTAATCAGCCCGGAAGAGGGCAGCGGCTGGAGGACACAGCGGGGACCGCGGACAAGGTAAGACCTACGCTGTAGTCCCGAGTGTGGCTCGGGGTTACTGCTTTGTTAACCCCAAGCCACACTTGGGAATACCAATGGATACGCTCTGAAATATGTCCCAAAGAAGCTCCTGTACTTGTTTGGGCGTAGGGCGTTTTTTGCCCAGGTGGGAACCATACCCATAGGAAACTATGGGATTTCACTTGCTGAGCGTTTTTCAGAGCTTCGATCAGTGCTAAAAAACGCCCAGGTATGAACCCAGCCTAAAGTCTTCTCCAGCACATCCCAAGGATTCTCAATGGGGTTAAGGTCTGGAATGCATGCCGTAATCAAAACTAAAAGCGATCCAGTGAAATATTAGAGTACAGACATTCCTCGCTTACCGACTTACCTGCTTTGCGACCACTCGCACTTACGACCGACCTCTGATCGACCTCCGACCTTGTGCGACGTGTCGCCAGCGGAAGTGATGTCCTCCGTTCTTCACTGCGGGTCCCGGTAAGTATTTTATTGCCCGATGTACAGTATACTGTTCGGTGCTGTACATCTGCAACACTATACAGTACTGTACTAATGCAGTACAGTACTGTATAGAGTTCCTCACTTAACGACATGACTTTTGTTTTGGACAGGCAATGTATATCACAAAGGTTCAGTAGGCACTTAGAAGTAAATTCTTCAAATGTAGGTTTTATTATACCAACATTTCGGTGGCCGCAGTCTGTCTTTCACAAGGCCAACACTGAAACGCTGGTGCAATGAAACCTACACTTTAAGTGTTTATTCCAGTTTGAAAATCTCTGCTAAATATATATATATATATCTAGATAGCTAGATATACAGGTGAAACTCGAATAATTAGAATATCGTGCAAAGTTCATTTATTTCACTAATGCAACTTAAAAGGTGAAACTAATATACGAGATAGACTCATTACATGCAAAGCAAATTATAGAATAAAAAAAGATGTACAGAGCCACTGTACATTCCCTTTAAGCTTGGGTACCTCTTATGCTACTGGCTGTAGTCCTCCTTCTTTCCTTTTTTCTGTATCACAAAAAAAAAAAATCTACAGGAAATCAGACTGAGAAAATCACACAGAAACATATTAGCAGCAGTAAGTGAGATGTGATAAGCTGACACGGTTGTACACAGCTAATATCTGCCCAGCAGAGCACTGAAATCCTGTCATTTCTCACACAGGGCCGGGAGCCGAGGCCAAGACAAACACAAGAAGCTTTTCATTCTCCTTGCTGCAGAGGAAGAAAACATGGAGCCTGGGATGAGGAGCCTGATGTCTGACAACAGCCGATATGTGGAGTCCTTCCGCCTCTTCCTGCAGAATTCTACAGAGCACCAGTGCATGCAGAACTTCATAGACACCAAACTGGCTGCCATTGTGTCCAGGTATGGTATAGGGGTCTTATGTCCGGACTGCTGGTGCTTTCCCTCAGATGGGTTCTTCTGTGACAGTGAGACAGGTACACATACCTATACAATCCCACTGTCATGGCAGTGAAAGGGTCAGATGTTTTATTACGGGCCTAAGCCTGCGTATAAATATTAGACAGTGAGCGGCCATGCATGCACGGTCTGGTCAATGAACGATCTTTCTAGCTAAAGATTTTTATACAGACATGCAAGTTGTGCTTATGAAGAAAGGAGGGGGAGTATGCAGGCCTCCTCAGGGGGAAAGCACACTGTTTAACTATTTTGGCTGGCTTTCCCACACAAATTATTGGTCAAAGGGCATAGGACAGGGTCGTGGAGGGGCCCACAAACAATCAGACAATAAACGATCATATAAGGCTTTGTAACGCTGTCTCTGGATTGCTTTTAATCCCCTGTGCAAGTCAGCAGCAAGTGAAAGCAGCTCGAAATCAACTCATGTGCAAGTCGTTGGTTTAAAGAAATTAAAATGGTTAATAACTGATGGTATTGTTCAGAATATCGAAACATTCATTTTGGACCATAGACCACTGCAGCAGAGGGGGAGAGAAGCTGGAGGGACCGGGCTAACAGCCAGCCAGCTCCAACGTTCAGGTGAGTATAACATTGTTATTATCTCCCTAAGCAAAAATGAGTGCTTAACCCTTGCAGTGCAGGGGTAGCCCCACTGCAAAGGTTAAGAAAACATTTCCCTAGAGTTCTTATATAAATGGTCTATACCACTATGACCTGCGTCTATCATCCTAACCTGCCCTATGCCTCTGCCACCCACATATGGAACAGGTAAGCAAACATTGACAGCAGAGAGGTTGTGATGTGCCATCAGAAGGATGATAATTGTGCAGAAGAAGTGGGTTAGAGGGCAAGGGGGGGTGGGGGGTTTGGTGCAACAGGAGGAATGTGATGTGGTGGAGAATTGATGACACAGCGGGGAGAAGAAGGGGGTGATGGGGCAGCAATGCG